TTATTTTACACTCTATCGTAACCAGGGCTGGCACTGACGTGAGAAAATCCACATGAACAACACGGTTTATCGACTCAGGGTGGACATTAGTGAACGGAGGGCTTCTGGAGCTTTGGAGATTTCAGGGTGGAGCGCTGTACTCTGTCACTCTACAGTAATCAAGAGGAGAACTTCCTGTTGAGCCCCCACCCTCTTTCCATTGTATCCTTGTCACTCAACTTGTTCTCAGTCACAAACCATTTTGACTTTTAGTGGAGTCCGTGTTTGTTACATGGTGAGAAGATGGCTGTCGAGGTTTGCATACACTTATCCATAGTGTAAATCTGGTATTTGTTTTGGGGTTTTAACGAACCAGATGGGTTTTTTTTAAGGATAGTGATGGAATGACACTTTAGTTATTCTTCAATTCTTTCATTCAAAAAACAAGTTAATGGAGCCTATTTTTATTAGATTTATTCGACGTTTCAGTGGCAGAAGAGTGCAGCAGATGTGAAAATAGTACAGCGGAGTGATAAAGGAAACAAAAATGATAAAATGGAAAAGGATAAAAATGCCTGATTAGAAATAAGATTTTATATCATAATGATATAATAAAATAAGATTGTATTTATATTATGAATTTATTTTGGAGAGAACCCACGCATGCACAGGGAGAACATGCAAACTCCATGCAGAAAGACCCCGGGCCGGGAATAGAACTCAGAACCTTCTGTCTACAAGGCAGCAGTGCTTCCCACTTTTCCACTGTGCTGCCCACAATGTATATGAGGACTTTTAAATATGTATTAATATATTCACATCCAAATCTATATTAAATTTAAGGACAATATCACACATTTTATATAATCACCCTTTTCTTTTGTACTCTTTATCTTGTACAAATACAAATCATGTCTTTTTTGGCAACTATATTTTAAGCAGTGCTATTTGCCTGTTGAAGAAGTAGAATTGATTTTAATTTTTCCACTTTGGTGTCTTAAGTGCAGACCATGCGCTTTGAATTTAGTTGATCTTAGGGTTATTACTGGAGCTTCACATTATTAGGTGTTATCCACTCCAAGCCCAGTTTAGATGCTTGTCTGAGATAATTGATTTGTTAGAACACCTAGTTCTCTTCCTTTAAGAATTTCATCTGAGTTTATTTTGAGAATATATTTAGAGAAACTTCAACTTCTATATAACAACGCTGAAAAACTTTAACATGATGCTGCTATTACCGAGCTTAAAAGCACCACCTTGATTCCTCGAAACATACATACAAACATTTTTGTCATTTTGGTCAAACTGATCAAACTTGAAAGTGCTTTGATTGTCCATTTGGGCCAGTTTCATATCAGCATCTTTCTGGTGTCACAGGATTTTTTAGACATTATTACTTTTGCGGTCTGAACATCCAGAGAGGGTTCAATCTTGAACACGACTTAGAGTAAAGCTTAAGCTGCTGATGTCCCCCTGCTAAAAATAAAACAAATATTGAATGTATTAAAAGTTCTGAGAAGCTGGGTCTGTGCCTTCAAACAGGCTGATTTAAGTAAGTAATTCTAAATAACGTTTTGCAGGAATCTAGTTAATTGTTAGAGCTGTGGTTTCTCTACATCATGCTCTGGATAATTTACCCAAGTAGAAGTTTGGTGGATGTATATGATTGAGCTTCCATATATGTGTCAGGATATCTTAGTCAGCCAGGCTCTCAACTCTTTGTGATTTTTTCGTATGATCATACCAACCTCTAAGTAAAGGACAAATCAAATCATTATGGAACGGATAATGTGGAAAGATTACTGTCATCTAGTGGTGAAATAGGGGTATTTCACTCAAACCAAGACTAAACCCCAGGATAAGAGAGTTCTGACAGCTCCACTGGCTACAATGGGCAACATTTCAAAGAGCAAAGGCGAGGCACAGAGCTTCAGTAGTTCGAGGGAAGTTACTCATTCATGCTAGCATTGCCGCTGGTAAAACCCAACTTTTCAACGGCTCTGCTATACCTAGTGTTTCACTGCCTTAAACATGTATTGCAGCAACGGTAACTTCTCAAAGCCCCAACAACGCAGAGGTAACCATTTCAAACAAAGAAAAGTGAAGTCTCTACAAGCTGGCTTTTACTGTGAGAAAAAGCCAGCATTCACTGCCGCTTTGAAAGTTAATAAAAATACAGCTCTGTGCAAAGATGATTGGTGTGATAGGTATAAATTTGCGGCATCTTCTGTTATTTTTTCTATGGTAACAAGCAACACTGTCCAATTAAACAGAATGGAAAAGGTTAGCTTTACGCCGGCAATTCAGTTAACTTACTAGTCAAGGAGAAACCCTTTTAAAATCTTCATACTTCATCAGCTCAATCTGGAAAAAGCTTGCCTGAATTTCATCTTTGTTTTTTGTTGTCATTTAACTTCCTTTTTTTCACTTCCTTGGAGATGGTGAAACCATTTTGTACAGTCCTTGTTATCGAAATCTCTGTGTTTATACCTTGAAGCTTTGTCTCTCTGGTGCTTTTCCTGAATAGAGATCACTCGGGACAAACTCATTAAATAACACTTCATAATGTATATGAACTAAATAACCATGAGACCTGACAACAGATTTTGACAGAAATTGTAATTTTACTCAGATCAGAGGAGTGGCTTTGACTTACAGAAGGCAGCTGCTTACCAACCCAACCGGGCTCACCTCTCATGAAGTGGCCTCAAATCACAGTTAGAGAAGCATTTTATGCATCTCCAGTATGCCACATTATCACATCATTTCATCATACACATTTGCAGATAAGAAGACATCCATGGCTCCAGCCTATATTAAATATTACTCTTTGTTCTTAGATCAAGGACACCGCTCTCATTCCATTCCCAAATCTTTACCACATACATAATGAAGCTGACCTTTTATCCTGACAGAACAACTGGCCTAATCACATAAACTCACAACTGGGGGAAACATTAGTTCTGTCACACAACAGGCAGATAACATGAGGGTTTAATAGACGCACACAGTGGCTGCTCAGTGGCAGAGTTGGTAGCACTGCTGCCTTGCAGCAAGAAGGATCAGGGTTGGATTCCCGGCCCAGGGTCTTTCTTTCATGGAGTTTGCATGTTCTCCCGGGTACACATGACTGTTAATTGGCAGTAAAGGTAAATTGGCTTTCAAATTTTCTTGTAAAGGTTAATTGGCTTCTCTAAATTGTCTGAGTGTGTGTGTGAATGGTTGTTTGTCCTGTTTGTCTCTGTGTTGCCCTGCACCCTGACCTGTCCAGGTTGTACCCCGCCTCCCGCCAATAGACAGCTGGAGATATCGCGACCCCACTCGGGTTAAAGTGTGTCAGATAATGGATGGATAGACTCATACATCATCAATAACAGTCTAACAGTTTCAGTTGTTGGGTTAACATCTCCTAATGATCTTCGTCACTGCCAGCAGGGGCAGTATTCTGAACGTAAGTAGTTCTTATCCCTTGCTGGCATCTATACTTTGAAGATGGCAGACGGGTGACCAGCTTTATGTATAAACTGATATAAAGGAAATTGTCTCTGATTAATAGTGGAGGTAATGATACGCCAATAATCACACATTTAAATGCAGTCATTGATTTTAGAAAAGAGAAAATGCTGCACGATGTCCCTATAACCGACCAAAATTGGCATGACCTTAAGGCATTAAGGCAGACCATGAGCTCATGTATGTTTTTTTTTTTTTTTTTTTTCTTTTCAACATCCCTGCTCTGAATAGAGAACAATGACATCTCTGATTATGTTCAAAAAAACAATAATATCCCCCAAGATTGGAAATATTTATGTTTAAAAAGAAGTAGAAAAATAGATCTTTAGGTGCAGTTAAGTGGCTCCATTCAAAGAAGACAGAGATGTCTCTCTCTTTCTGTATACAAACTTCCACACACACAGAGACACATATATACACAAACTAGCAGCTGCAATCACCTAGTTTGGAGTTGAGGCTCCAATGAACATCTATTTGTAGAGTGGAGTCAGGAAGACTACTTCATAGAGACATGGCTCAGCTGGACAGACACACACAGGGCTTGCACACCATGACGTAGACTCCCACACTCATTAATAAATCCTTGGTTCTGCTGTAATAAAGCAGCAGCTGCTTCGCCATTTGATTGTCAAAGTTGTTTGTCTCACTAGAGATTATTTCCGGATCTGGCCTGGTGGCGTTTTAATTTTGCAAAGTCAGTTGTTGAATTTTGGAGCCAGTTTGAGTGCAACCACATTAGGAGCTATCCATCCCCCCCCCCAATAAACGAGGCAGAATTAGGGTTTGGAGGAATGTCCATACTAAGGCCATTGAGGGATTTTGAGGGATTAGAATATTTTATAATTGATCCAAATATTTTTACTGTTTAGGTTTAAGACTTGCATTCAAGTTAAACTTGTGTCCAAGGGTCAACCTCACTCCTTACAAGCTGGAAATAAATAGCTCCTAACTAAGCACATTAAGGGAATTCTTAGCATTGGTTTCCGTTATTAAAAAAGGTGAACATAAAGTTCAAATTTTCAGTATTTTTCTTAACCAAGCCTGTTGACTGAATTCGTCTCACATTGCTCAACCACTTTCAGCAGTTTTTGGTTTGTTGAAAACGGACGGATGAAGTCACAAATGTAGTTTTTGGTTTGCTCTATTTTCTTTTTTTGTCAGTTTGTGAATTATTGGCATTGTGTTTATTGTTTTGCATGACTTCTTCAAGAGAGCTAAAACGCCTAAAAGCCACAATAAAAATAGTTGAAGCCTTTCAAGGTGTAAATCATAGGAAGAAATAATTAAAAAGTTGAACTAGGACATGTGTTTGTGTACATCAATATGACACGGTGACCTCTGTCTCCACAGGCGTCAGGGTGGGCTCTTTATTTCAGTATCCTGTTCAAGAATAGATAGCGGGTTTGACAGGACGGGAGGCTGGGAGTGTAACTGAATAAGAGAGTAATAAGGGCAACAGAGGAAGGAGGGAGTGTTGAGTCCATCAGTGACGGAGTCGGTGTTTTTGAAAGAAAGAGAGAGCGAAGGAGGGAGGGAGGGAGAGATTTCCCAGCACAGTTTGATCTGCGTCTCTTTCTCCCTCCTGCTATGTGAGAAGCAGCTCCAACACTTAAAACAATCACAGAGGATTTTAACTGGAGCACAGGAAGAGCTGACAGCAGTCGCTCAGATCTCAGAGTCCCCGGGGTTGTCTCCTGGAATAAGTCGGCCGGAGATGAACGTGGAAATGAACGGTCGCGCCCTGCCACCTTCAATACCTGAGGATGGCGAAGCCCTGGACCACATCCACCACAGAGAGATGAACGGATACCACCAGAGGCTTCAGGCTGGGGACGGGGGAGAGGCTGAAGTCCCGGTGTCCAAGTCTCAGAGGCGGAAAAGCGACGTCAAAGTCTATAAAGAATTTTGTGACTTTTATGCTCGCTTGTAAGTAGTTTTCATATTTAGAACGTCAACAAATCTGATAGATAAAACTGTGTTTTAAAGCACATATTAAGAGTAATGAGAAGTATGTTGATGAGCGGGTTGAAGGACACACATCTACAGTAATACCTCTTAGATGGTATCATAGTAGAGGATTTCTGAGACAATTTTCTGTTTGTTTTGTGGTGATTGCTTCCCAGAAAAGTCCTATGGAATTTCAATAAATTGAACCTTTTTTCATATATTTGCTAGTTCTTGTAATGTTAAAGAAAAATGTTACAAAGGGGGGTTGGTGGTTGGGAATTTGGTGCTGTTTGCTGAAATGTTAGCATGTTAAGTTCGAACTGACTCCGATGTTACAGAATGTGAGGAATTCTTTCAGGCTTGAAGCCGGGCTTAACTGGACAGTTTGATTAACTCAAGCTGCTGTTTGTGCAGAGATATGAGTGAACGCTACAGGAGGGAACACACAGGGAGGGCTATTTTCGTGCCAAGGAGGTAGGGGGGGGGGGGGGGGGAGTTGTTATGCAAAATGGAATATGCCATCCGGCATGTAAAATATGTGAGCTTAAGAGATATTAGGGCTAAATATACACACATAGTGTATTTCTGACTGGTCTGTTTGTCATCTGCTGGAGAGCTGGACATTAGGTCATCTGCAGGTTTTAGATTAAATCGTTTTAAGGGGGAAAAAAAATGAAAAACTGGGTTGAGGTGGTTTGGCCATAGATGGTCTGGTAAAAAAAGCAACCACCACTCTATGGTAGGGTGGTAGGATTTGACCTCCAGTCATTCATCTATGGCAGCGGTCTCTAACTCCAGTCCTTGGGATCTACTTCCCTGTAACTTTCAGGAACATCCCTACTCCAACAAATTGAACCAAATGACTGATTATCTCCTCAGCATGCCATTTGATTCTGGTTGGCTGAATCAGGGATGCATCTATGAAGTGAAGGGCAGGAGATCTTGAGTTGTAATTCACCGATCTATGTAATAGTAGTTGGTTATTTAAGATTGTCTCTATCAGTTCCCCATATTTGCATAATACAAAGCATTAGTAAAGTTATTAAAATCAATGCCATGTCTATTGATGAGACCTTGGTAGGACAGTAGATTTTCTGAAGAGATTTTGTTGACCATATTCCTGTCTGACTTCAGAGATCCTATTGTTCATTATGCAATCTATTTTGTAAGGTCAACCACATCCTCCTGCAGCAAAGCACCCCCATGTTATGATCCTCCCACCCCGATGTGTCACAGTTAGGATGGAGGGCTAAAGCTTGCAGGCTTCCCACTTTGTTCTCCAAATGTACCAATGGTTATTGTAGCGAACACTTGAATGTTGGCTTTATCCAAATATCAGTCCAAGCAACAGGGCTCCTTACCCCTATTTCTAAGGCAGAGCCCAGCCGCCTGCAGGGGAAATGTCATTTCATCTGCTTATATCCAGGATCTCATTCTTTCGGGTCATGATCCAGATTTTAAAACCATAGGTGAGGATAGGAAAGTAGACCAGCCAGTAAATGGAGAGCTTTGCCTTTTCGCTCGGCTCTGTCTTTACCACAATAGCCTGGTGTATTGTCCGCATTATAGCAGCACCCACATCCATCCCTCTATCGACCTCCCGCTCTTTTCTCCCCTCACTCGTGAACAGGACCCCAAGATACTTAAACTTGAGGCAGGAACACTCCTCCGACCTGAAGGAGACAAGCCACCTAACCATAGCCTCAGACTTGGATGAGCTGATTCCCATCCTTTCCCCTTCACACTTGGCTGTGAACCCCCCAGTGCATGCTGTAGATCTTGGCATGTCCTGCTGGCTCATGAGCTACAGTTCATAAATATGTAAATGTGTAATAAATACTTCCAGAAATACACACACTTCTACGTTGTTGAGTGAAAGAAAGAAAGAAAGCAGTAAACTGCTTGAGTTGTAATTCACCGATCTATGTAATAGTAGTTGGTTATTTAAGATTGTAAACTGCTTTCTTTCTTTTGGTTTTAAATATTTCTAGTCCTTACCCATGTTAGCGTCTCAGTGGACTATGATGTTTGCAGATGACATTATGATCTGCAAGGAACAGGTAGGGGGAAAATCCAGAAAGGTGAAGAAAGAATGAAAGTTAGATGTAGCGAGAAAGAATAGGTGTGAGAATGAGAGGATCCAAAGTGGAGCAAACGGTAAATGTGGAAAATAGGTAAAGAAGTGTTTCCAAGCTGGCTGGAATGGTTAGAGAAATGAATCAGACGTTCTGTCTGATAAGAGAATATCTGCAAGGAAGAAAGGAAATGTGTACAAGCCTGGGGTGAGACCAGCAATGATGTACGGGTTAGGTAGCAGAGATGAGGATGTTGAGATAGATTGGAGATAAACATGAAGAGAAAAAGATGCTGAAGATCAGATGAAGACAAAGAAGAAGAAGGACACATAATAATAGTTAAATTTTATTGATCTCACATTGGAGAAATTTATCTCTGCATTTAACCCATCTCCTTGGGGTGCAGTGGGCTGCCATTGTGCAGTGCACGGGGAGCAATGTGGGGTTAAAGGTGTTGCACAGAGACCCAGATTGGCAGTCAGTTTGAGTGGGGCTTGAACTCAGACGCTCAGGATTCTAAGCTCTATGCCCTAACCCCTGGGCCGGCACTCCTTCCCTTAGGTTCATAGATGCATCCCTGTTCCAGCCAACCAGAATCAAATGACTGCCTCATTACCAGGCAGGGGGAGTCATGTCAGCGATGGAGTTTTTCTGCAGCCGACGGCTTACCCTCTAACGATGCATCTGAAGTAAAATAAAAACAGTTTGACCACAGTTTTTGAAAATTAAGTGCATCCAGCTGCTCTGATACAGATCCTTTAGAAATGCTTTAATAAGCACTTTGACCCAATGACCCTCAGGGACATCCTTATTTTTTACATATCTTTGTTGGTGGTGCTGATAAATGTAAAGATCGCATACTCTGCTTCTATAGAGCAGGAAAACAAACCTATGCTTGTGATTTTTTTTTAATCTAAGCTATATTCAGCTGAATGTTTAAATTTGAAATTACCAATGGATATTTTTTCTAGTCAGTGCAACTCTGTGTGAAGAAAAAGCAAACTTCCAGAGGTCCATGGTTTCTCCTAAAGCAGGTTTATTTGTTTTAAATAGTATGCATACATAAACCACAGTAATTAACAGCAGTAAAATTATAAAAATAAAACAGGAATTTTCTTTTATCAGTCCCTCTGATATATTCAAAATGTTCTTATTGTCAATATTTCTATTTTCCTAAGTAGGAGCATGAAAAATATCCATGCTCCAAAAAGTATTGATATTCAAACGCTGTATCTGGATACAACGCTAATTTTGGTATGGTATCGATATTAAAAACAATTGTTAACATAATTATATTTTGGTTTATTTTAGATATCTATATTATTTGAACAATAAAAGAATAATGCTTCAAACAACTTTAAAATATTGTCATAGATTAGTTATTTCTTTTATACTTATTTGCACATTTATTTAACTAACTTCTATGATTCTGTTGAAAATTAATTCAACATGGAACATATTAATGAAGATATTTTTTATGCCCTTATTTGTCTTTTTTTACCCATACAGTATTGAAAAAGGTATATTTTTCTGGGTATTGAGTTTGACTTTCTAGTATCATGATAACCCTTGTAAAAAGTAGAGGATATTGGCTTAGTGTGGTTTAGTTTGTGCTTAAATTAGGTTAAACAATTGTTGCCATAAGAACTTTTTAATTTTTCTACGTGTTAAAGCTATTTGGTCTATATATTTTTTACATGATTGTTTAAAATACGTTACAGTTGAAGAGTGGGAATCTGGTAGCACATAATTCCCTAATGGCACTAAATCTATGTGTAAGCAGAGTTACCTCATTGATTATAACTGGATAATGTGCTGACTTTACTGCTAATTAAAAGTTCAAAGCGTAACGGATCCCATGCTGCTGCCACATGGGAATTTATGCTGAACCAATGTGTTCTCCATGAGGATGCATCTTTCTGACTTTTTCTTGCTGGCTTTGTCTTTTTCCCCTGTTGTAACAGCAAACACTGCAGTGGAAATTTCTCTTTAAAAACTAGAGAGGCCAAACCTCCATCTATTTTTAGCAAAATAATTGGTAAAATATGCATTGTCAAATTCATAAATGTAGTCACTAAGCTACATTAAAGATGTGCTAAAATTAACTTTATTGCATAAGCATATGAACTCACTTGTTTCAGAGATCAGCAGCTGACACTCATATATATGTATATACAATCAATGTGGAGCAAAACAGAAAACATGTTGAAAAGATGTCAGAAATAAAACTCTTAAGCCGCCTTTTTAATTTAAATCCCTTTATTGTCCCACAATTGGGAAATTCCATCTCTGCATTTAACCCATCCCCTTGGGGAGCAGTGGGCTGCCATTGTGTGGCGCCCAGTTAGCAGTGTGGGGTTAAGGGTTTTGCTCAGGAAGGCTGTGGGGATCGAACCGGGTACATGCATTAGAGCACAAGCGTACTGTGCTAAGCTCACATGTACAGGCTTTTCCTTCCCCGTCTGATGCTACTAAGGTACATTTATCATCCAGACCATGTTAAATCCAAGAGGTTGGATGAAGGACGACATACTTTTATCAATGATTGAACCTCAGATCTTTTTGTTTTTAACCTTTTTTGGAGTTTCTTATCTCGTGTAGTTTTAAATAATTTGTATGAAACATGTTTTTAAGCTGCTTCCAACAAAAACAAGATACATGGAATCAGTGTTGCACCGATACCAATACCAGTATCGGACAGGGCCCTGATACTGCACTAAAATGGTGCTATCGGTATTCAACTATTGTCACCCATTCCACATAGGCAATAAGAAGTTCTGGATTCACTTTGTATTAGTCTTTTTCCTGCTTCACAAAGGCATTATGGCAATTAATGTACATCCAAATAGTATGCAGTTATTCATATATACACCACACATCAATTTCAAACAGATGGTATCGGTATGGTATTGGCCGATACTGCACAGCCAGGTGTCGGGTGTCGTATCGGGGCCAAAAAATGGGATTGGTGCAACATTGGAATGTTGGATTAGGTTTAATTAGGAAAGACCTTTTTAAATGCTTTTTTTTTTTCTTTGGGTCCTAACGGCAGATAGGAGGGTGGAAATGCCTGAGGGATGTATCACTTCCTCACACAAATCCTTTGGACAGGGCAGGGCTGTCAGTGTGTTTGATAGCAGTCCAGACAGGGTATAGGAAAAATGTGTATTCAATAATCCTGCCAGAGACTGGACACATCTTGCTTCAATGTGGTATTTTCTCAGAGCATGCCAGCTAAACACACATTTTTATAAGGTGCTTGATATAATACATTCTAAATAAAGCAGAATTTTCTAGTTGTGTTTGTGGCTTTTTTTTTTTTTTATGGAGTTCTTTGAGATGAGGTCGGCATTATAGATTTAAAAATCAACAGGTGGTTTCACTTTATAATAATCCTCCGTGGCCTTGTGTGTTTATGTGTGTTGCTTTTGCACGCCGTATTAACCCGACCTTTTTAAAAAGCTGACGACCCAGAATTTTTCCACATCTTTCTTTGTTTTTCATATCAACATTACTGCCTGTTTCGTATTTCCTCCCGCATCCATTTTGTCAGCTTTTGCAGGGCCGGGACATTATCCATGGATCGTATATTCTTCTTTCAAGTCCTTCTGTAGTTAGACTCATTGTCCCCATTTTTTAGATGTTCTTGTTTAGATTTGATTCCCATCAAGTTTAATGCTCATGATTGATGTTCAACTTGCATGCCCAAATGGAAAAGCAAATAACTAAGGAACTATAAGCCTAAATTACATGAGTGATACATCATTTGAAAGCTAACACCTTCTAGTTTTGGAAAATATAAATGCAAATAATGTGACTAAAGTAAAGACTAAACAGCATCAGTTAAACATAAATAATGATTGAAAATGATTCTAAGTCTTGTTTGAATAGCAATAACAAGGAAATGCTTCACAATAGGTGTGTGGCATAATATTACATTAATTCTGCATCATGTCAACCACAACTGCAGAAAATTTTAGACCTCTAGGTATTATAGTTTCAGAGCTACGGGACTTTTAACTTCTGCTTTCACCAGCGTCTCCTAACCTCTCCAGATGTCCATAAAATGAACTAAGCTTTCTAAGGACATGTCACTATTGGTAAAAGTTTGACCGGTATTATTTTCAAACGTACTGCTGTGTTTAATGTAAATATACATTAAACTGGTGGATGGTAAGACTTTTAGTGTTATTTTAAGCAGAGTTTAATTAAAGGTATGCAGAGTTCTACTAATAACTTGCACAAGACTTTTTCTTTAAATTTCAGATTTCTTTTTTTAAAGCTTTTTTTTTAACATTATTATGTAATAGTCATCTTTATATCTAAATTTCAGTAAATATTAGACTCCTCCCTGTTTATATATCACCTAATATATTTTACTCCGATATAAAATTTTAATCAATTTAATATTTTACTTCACAGAATTAATCTTATCAGTGTCACAGAAAGTCAACCTCAGTATTTTAATTTAAAATCTGATTAATCAATGTTTTTTCCCATTTGTATTGAATCAGCTGCGCCCTCAGTCTGTGCCAGAGAGGCGACCATGCAGGTCTAACTCCTCCCTGACCCTTCCATCCTGACCAACCGACGCCAAAATAAACCTGGAAACTCTTACATCACATGCTCCCTCTCTGCTATCTCTGGCTTGATTTAATCTTCCAGCTGTTATCATGCTGTGGGAAATTTGGCTACAACTTTTTTGTTTTATGTGTTCTGACATGACCCAGGTTATTGTCTATCTGAGCTCTTTCCATACTCTGTTTTTCAATGACTTGAAAGGAAGATGAAACGAATCACATGGTTATGTTGCGTTCACAATCGAATCCAAAGCGATAGGTTTTGATTTTTCTCAGAGATCTGTTGTGAAATATAACTATTGACACTTCTGCTGAAACACATCTGAGTGTAATAATATGATGTTCAGATAAAGCTGGCCGAGTTTATGCCTGGAAGAAATCAGTTTGCATTACAATTCCATGAATTGGGATTTATTCACTTTTTTTTTTTTAACTGTGTCCTTTCTTTGCAATTTGCCCTGATTTTCCCCTGTTTGTGTTTGTCCCCAGCAACATGGCCAACGCCCTGGCCAACGCCATGTGTGAGCGCTGCAAGAGCCGCTTCGCCCCGGCGGAAAAGATAGTCAACAGCAACGGGGAGCTTTACCATGAGCAGTGCTTCGTCTGTGCGCAGTGTTTCCAGCAGTTCCCAGAGGGGCTCTTCTATGAGGTAACTCTCTGTGCCTTAAAGACACATTTAGTCATTTTTTTGCTGAAAAACATCTTTACAATAGCCTTTTTATTTGACCCTTTACGACTAAAGCATTGTTTCATGAGTAGACTGACACCTCAGTAGTTCAGTGCTATTTTAAGCCTATTTGGCCTTTTCATATTTATGCAGCTTATCGCTGGCTGCTATTAAAATAATTTGAATCTTATTAAATAACATGTGAAGTTAATATAAACAATGTTGGATAGAGATGTTGCACGAAACGTTCTGCTGCAAATATGAACCAATATTTGGTTTTCACTTTACAGACTGTAAATAAAGACACAGTTTTCCATCTCTAATTAAAACCAAGCTGATAACAACCTTTAAATGGTATTTTATCATTAGAAGCCTTTTCCATTTAATAGTCCCTACATAGATGGTGAAACAGGCCTGGACGTTTCCCACATTCCCTAAAGCGTCCAAGGCCTCAGCTGTTTACCACACATCCTGATGCCTCTTATCGGCAGACACCAAACACAGAGAGATCAATATGTAACTCCTTTATTATTCAGAATGCTATAATTACACTGTAAGCTGAAAATAACCCAGCATTAATGTGTTTGAACAATGGCAGGATGCAGTTGATTTAATGATGTAGTAGGAAAAAAAGTCCAAAAGGACAGAAATAGTTTCTCTCTTTTCTCCAGATATATTTATAATTTTTGCCTGTTAGTTTCAGTGATGAAATCAGCCTCGCATTTTGTATTGTTATATCTTTTTATATCTGTGTGGACTAATACATACACACGGGTAAAAGTCATGGTACCCCTCATTTAACGAAAGAAAAATCTGCAATGGTCACAGATGTAACTTTAATCTGATAAAATAAATTCTATGAATTTAAACAAATGAAGGTCTGACATGTCCTTTCAAATACCGGTATGCTTTAATAGAATAATTTAAAAGATAAAGTAATGAAACAGGCTGAGACAAAAATGGTGGTACCATTAACTTGGATGTTTTGTTGCACAACCTTTAGAGGCAGTCACTGCAATCAAAAGATTCCTGAAGACTTCTGCTTCTCTCAGCAGGTATTTTGTCCCACATCTTAGGTGTTTTTAGCTGTTTTTTTCTGTCATTATCCAATCACTTGCAACTGTTACCAAGCTTTCTGACACTGGGCTGGACATTTCTCTCTAGAATCCTTTGATAGTCTTTAGATTTCATTGCATCCTGCAGAGACACCCAATGCCAGATGAAGCCAAGCAGCCCCAGAACATATCAGAGCCTCCTCTGTGTTTCATACTTCTTGATCTGCTTGTTTTTCCATCTCTGTAAACAAAGAGCTTATGTCTGGGCAAAATAATTCAAATTTTGTCTCATCTGTCCATAGGACATTCTCCCAGAAGGCTTTTTAACATGTAGTTTGGCAAGATTCCAGTCTGGGTTCTTCATCGTTTGTTTTCAGCATTGGTGCTCTCCTTGCTTGTCTCCCATTATGTCCACTTTGGATCAAACAACTAGGGATGATGCGCTCTGACACTGATGTTTCTTGACCTTGAAGTTCACCTTTAATCTCTTTAGAAGTTTTTCTGGGCTCTTTTGGTACCATTTATATTATCCATCTCTGGTTTGTCATCAATTTTCCTCCTGTGGCCACAACCAGGGAGGTTGACTATAGTCCTATGGATCTTAAATATCTGAATAATATGTCCAACTGTAGTCATAGTAACATCAAGCTGTTTGGACTTGGTCTTATGGCCTTTACCTTTGACATGCTTGTCTATAATTTTCTTTTGAATCTCCTGACACAACGCTTTCCTTTGCTTCCTCTGGTCCGTGTTGAGTGTGGTACACACCATGTCACCAAACAGCATATCGTCGCTGTCGGGAAAAAACCTTGTAACTCCCATTTTGGACTTTTTTTCATAAATTGATACGATCGGTCAGTCCCCACATGTGAACGTATGTTTTGGAAAATATTAACCAATTAAAAGAAAAAAAAAATTAAAAGAAAAAGAAAAAAGTCAAAGTTATCAACCTTGCCGGCGGCGGCATTGGTACTGATGGAACTCGCATCTCCACAAGTCAAAAGTCAAAATCCTCATAAATCCATTTAAATATAACTTGGGGGAAGCAGTATTCAAAAAGTGATACATTTGAATATAGAACAGTGAGTAAAGATATAATACCAACTCTGATAACAAAATGTTTATTTTTCTAAAAAACACAGTGTTTTTACAATTTCCTGTAAACTTTATGGTTTTGGACATACGAGGTTTCCGTCCGACAGCGACAATATGTTTCTATATATAGGCCAACTGACTGAGTACATGATTGTAGACTGTTGTGATGCTAATTGTTTGAGTGATTGATTCCAGTTTAAAATTACACCAACCGGGCAAAACATAATGACCCCTTGCATGGTGTATTGATAACCATTTTGATTCTAAAACATCCCAGACCTGTGGAGTCATGGACTCCAACAGACGGACAAACAGACGCTTTTGGCGGCGGACGCTTTACATTTTGAGTTGGGGGGTGTTTAAGGATTAAAATTTATTTCTGCAGCAGATAGAGATGATAAACCAAGAGTTTTTAAACCTAATTTTAAACAAATTTTTCTGCTCAAACCTCTATATAATTGCCTTTGTGACTTTGGTAAAACTGGGTTTAAGTTTAAGTAGTTTCTCTAGACAAACTTGATCTTGAATTGTGGGATACCTTCTGATGAGACTCATTTGTCAGATTAAAAGTTCATTTCAAATGTAACATAATATATTTGAGTTAATAGAATAAATGAACTTTGTAATAATAGTTTACTTTATTGAATGGATCATTACATCTGTGCAGGACTGCAGATATCAATTAATTTTAGTAAACAAGTAGTCTAGCAATTATTCCTTGAAATACTGTATATAAATTTCAAATGTACTATAAATGTTAAAATAAATCTCAGTAAAGTTTTTGACACATATTGCAAACTTTAAATACATAGTACATAAATAATGCTTCAAAATGTTAGAAATACTATTTAGAAATGACTATGTGAACATATTTACAGACAATACCTTTTTTATTGTAACTGCAAAATATATATATTATTTAACAGTTTTAGTTTAATTACTGCTTTGAGGTTGTTCTTTCAGTGGTTTGAATACTTCCGCCTGTTTGTAATAAAACTATATAATGTGTTTAGTGTAAATTTAATTACTAGAATAAGAAGAAAAATCTGAATATTTTCAACTTTATTGAATAACCCAAATAATCTAATGTGAAAATATCATGTTTGTTGCTTGTCTGTGAAGGGAGTTAGAAGGGGAACAATCTTCAAGTAAAACAATCTGTTTGTTTTGACAGTTTGAAGGCAGGAAGTACTGCGAACATGACTTCCAGATGCTGTTCGCTCCCTGCTGCCATCAGTGTGGTGAGTTTATCTTTCTTCTTTAGCCATTAAGAGCCAAGTGAGAGTGGATGCTGAAATTCTTACTGCTCAAAACCCAAATAAATTTGTAGGCATTTGCTCATGATCCAGTTTCTGGAAACCTTTATTCTCCCCTCAGGTGAGTTCATCATTGGCCGCGTGATCAAGGCGATGAACAACAGCTGGCACCCTGAGTGTTTCTGCTGTGTCCTCTGCCAGGCTGTACTCGCAGATGTTGGATTTGTTAAAAATGCTGGACGGTGAGTGCTGGTTCTGTCATTAGCTATCAGAATCATGTTAGGTGGAGCAATGGAATAATTCCCTGTGTGTGAAAACCTTGAAGAAAAATACAACTTACACAAAAGTTATTCCTCCTTCTTCATAAACCCTTATTACGTCGTTCGGCACAAATTTCAGGACCAATATTAGCGTTTTTTTTTTTTTTTTTTTGGTACCGGCACCAGCCAACAGTATTCAGGTAGTATTCTGCGAAAAGTCCACACATGCAATAAATGCTCCTATGAGCAGCTTTACTTCATACAAACGCTCATTGAAGGTATAGTGGAAGTTTTTTTGCGAATTTTTAAATAGACCCGCCCTCTCTACTTTAATAAAAAAAATGCGCATGTAAAACCCTGTACCCACTCAGGGAACATTAAACACCTATTAAACACATGCGAGAGCATGCACAAGCTCATTTCTCCTCGTGCACGCACTGTTTAAAATTTGCTCTAAGCATCACTCTTACTAGCTTTCTTTCCAAAAGAAGATTTGCAATTATTTCCACTATGTCAAACTCACCACCGGTAAGTAAAAATGGGGACGAGCATGTAGGACCACCTTACGTAAACATATCACCAGAATTATTGACAATTAGGAGGTCCACTTATTTTGATGATCCACCTGGATAAAGAACATCCTCCTTATATACCTTTAAGTCTTCCTCGCGCCTCCCTCCTCTTCGTGTTTCTGTCTACTACAGTCAATTTTTTCGCTTTGAAGGTGTTACCCACTAGACAAAGCAACCTGCCTGTGATTGGCTGCTTTTCAGGAAATCCCGCCCCTTAAGACTGTACTCTTTTATTAGCATATGCTGGTGAAGATTCTCAGTCATTTTTTTGAATTACTTCTAGCAAAGCAACTTCAGGTTAGCCGCTTCTCTTCAAGAGTTGGAAGTTGGTAAGCAAAGTCATCATTAGATATACCATGGTCTGGATGAATACTGGATTCTGACTGGTATAGGGAGTCTGTTAAACAGGGTTAAAGGCCATCAACAAAAAGAAGTTAGGGTTAATTAGTGGTGTTGCACCGATATCAGTATCGGACTGGGCCCCGATTCAGCACTAAAATGGTGGTATCGGTATTGGCGAGTACCAACAAATAGGGCACTGATACCATTTGGAGAGCCAAATGTTTATTCAGCTATTGTCACCCATTCCAAGTAGGAAATAAAAAGTTCTACTGGATTCACTTTGTATTAGTCTTTTTCCTGCTTCACAAAGGTAGGCAGCAGCTTGACAAAGCCATGATGGCAATTATTTTACATCCAAGTAGTATGCAGTTCTTTATATATAGACATACATAACATTAGAATCTCAGATTGATTTGCTTTATTTGCTGTTCAGCTCTTTATAGACTAACCAAAGAGCATTTTAAGATAATATTGGCTGGTTAATTGACCAACTTCTCCGCTCAAGCAGAGATTTCAGTCAGCAGATGTGATCAAAGCAAAATTTCAGTCTTGTTCATTTCATAAGAGACAGAGTTTATAATCCAGTTCCCTTTCCTCTCTCCCATCAGGCACTTGTGTCGTCCCTGTCACAACAAGGAGAAAGCCCGCGGACTGGGAAAATACGTCTGTCAGAAGTGTCATGCCATCATCGAAGACCAGCCGCTTCTGTTCAAGAACGATCCCTATCATCCGGATCACTTCAACTGTAACAACTGCGGGTAAACACACAGCCACAAAAAAACCTGCATAACATTCAGAGCAAAAATAAGTGAGACTGGTGAAAGACGCCAGTGAGGATAAATGTGACCGAGATTATCATTTCTACTCCATGCTTGCATTTTAGTCATTTATTTAGATATTATTGGGATATGGACTAAGAGTTTGGCATTTCCCTTTTAAATCTTCACATTGTTTTCCTAAAAACATGCAAAAATATGTGCAAAGTTGACCTATAGCCCAGTAGTGCCATCTAGTGGATAAATTAGGGAACTGTTCATGTAGATATAAAGCTGAGAGACAACAAAATACCAGCTAATAGTTGTAAAGCTTTAGAAATATTTTAACATTATACTTCTTGGGAAATAAAGGTTACTCTTCTTTAAAACCCATGTATTTGCATGCTGGAAAACATATTACATCTTTATGTCAGTGCAGCTGTTCCAAATGGTCGCCTGTTTTCACTCACCTGCTAAATCTCTGCAGTAAGGAGCTGACAGCTGATGCCAGGGAGCTGAAAGGGGAGCTCTACTGTTTACCCTGCCATGACAAGATGGGGGTCCCAATCTGCGGTGCCTGCAGGAGACCCATCGAGGGCCGTGTGGTCAATGCCATGGGAAAACAGTGGCACGTTGAGGTGCGACTTCTACCCTAATGAGTCAGCTTAAATTCATCAATCACAGGAATCTTTTGGTAAAGCTGCAGATGCCATGTTTTATTTCCCAAACACTGCTATATATGTCAGGAGATTTAAACATCTGACTTGATTAATGAATCAAAATCATTCTTGTTTTTCTGACTTTGTAATTCAGTCAGTTTCTTTCTTTCGCTTCAATGTTTAGCACCATGTGTGTACTGTATGTGAGCGGCCGTTTCAGGGCCACCCATATTACGAACGAGGCGGCCGTGCCTATTGTGAGAGGCACTTTGACATGGTGAGGGGGGGTTATGGATCGGTGTGTGTGATGGGTGCTGCCCCGATCCCTGCCTGACTGAAACTGACCAGCATCCATACAGGGAATACTACCGTTTAAAGTAAACCTGCTGCCTGATGTTTCTGATGTATCTAAAAAAAAAAAAACACTGTTTATACCAAACTAATGTTCATAGAGCTGATTTTAAAAACCACTATTTGTTCATTAACCCTTAAATACTTTTTACAGTATCGAATTTTAATTTATTATCACAATATTTTTTATTTTATTGTTAAAAACTCTCATCTTTCAATTAGTCATCAGAAAAAGAAAAAATTAAAATGTTGTTGATTTTCCGATTTTTCGATGATTTGCAGTTTATATTGTAATATAATTTTACATATGTTAAAATCTGTCCCTATTTGGCGATCCTGTCCAGTGTCTCTAGTCCCTGTTTGGATGCATCTAATGAAAAAGGGCTGATCTGTTTGGTGTTTTGGCCTCATAATGTCTTGTATAAAACTGTTGAGTATGATGATGATGATGATGATGATGTTACTGACTGACCCGTGTGCTAACAGTGTGTGCTTTGGGCCTTGGGTTGTGCTTGCAGCATTTTGTGTGTGCTAAGTGTGAGAAACCCTTCCTGGGACACCGCCACTACGAGCGCAAGGGCCTGGCTTACTGTGAGACGCACTACAACCAGGTAACACTGAAGGCACAGTCTGTTTCGCTCATATATGGTTTTCACAGGTCTATGTGAGGATATTTGCTTTCCTACAAAGTGTAGAAAAGCCTTTAGATTTTAATGTTTTTCCAATGTTTATAAGTGGTATAAGGTTGTATCATCAGATTTTATTTTCTGTCCGCTTCCCCTAGTGATTACTTCATTAATTTGTTTATCTTTCCATCTCTTTGTCCAACCGTCATCCAACCGGTTGCTCAACCTTCCATCTGTGCCCCCTAGATCACCTTCTCCCTACCTTTCTTGACTTGTGTTCCCCTTTGGGCATTTTGTCTTACCCATCAGTACCGTTCTCAGTCAGACGTATTGATGATTGTCCAAAAGTGGAACATACAATAAAAAGATATAAATACTATTTTATTTAATCTTTTATTTTGAACATTTCATTTTTATAGTTTTTTTGCTTTACATCCCAAATAAAACAAATAAGATAAGTATTTTGCCAGGATGTTTGTAAGGAATCAAAATAAATACAAAATAAAATCTTTTTATGATCACCATAAAAATTACTCTTTTCAGATAAATTTTTGCCATAACTCCGAAAGAGTGAACTTTTAAACACTTAACAGATTACACTATCAAGGGTCCTTACCAAACCGATTTCAACTCTGAATATTTTCACCAACACTGCCATACACAATGAGGCATTTTACACTCACTGTTGTTGGAATGACTCTTATAGGGTTGACAGATTCTGACACTAACAATTTGACTCTCTGAATTTTACTGTGAAGGGCAGTCTAGTCATCCATCAGTGTCTTTATCCCATCTTGTGTCCTGTCCCATATCTAAAACCTAACCAGACTTAATATCTCAGATGGAAAATGTAAAGTCTCACAGTGAGGGAGGTTTTAAATCAGAAAACCAGAATAATACCTATATGAATATAGATGGGCTTTAGTCCCGGCCCCATACTTTATAGTAAACTAACACTACATGTGTTTCATCAGTCATTCAAGGCAAGTAAATTTATATAGCACAATTCAATACAAAGACAATTTAAAATGCTTTACATGAATTGAACAATAAAATAGAAGAAAATTATATGCAGAATAAAAGCAAGTAAAGAAAAGAACATGATAAACCAAAGGAAACATTTGTTAAAGGCAAGGCAAGGCAAGGCAAATTTATTTGTATAGCACAATTCAGTACAAAGATAATGCAAAGTGCTTTACTTGATTAAAATATAGGAAAATAAAACATAACCAAAGCAGGTAGGGGAAAAAATGAATAAATACAATAAAATAAAAAATGCTGAAACAAAAAAGAACATTAAAAACAGTTGGACTAAAGAAAATTAAAAAAAGTTGAACTAATAATGTTTCAGTTGAACTGTTTAACAGTCGAAGGCAATCCTAAACAAATGTGTTTTTAGTCTTGATTTAAAGGAACTCAGGCTTTCCGCACTTTTACAGTTTTCTGGAAATTTGTTCCAGATAAGTGAAGCATAGGAACTAAATGCTGCTTCTCCATGTTTAGTTCTAGTTCTAGGTAGAGCAGGCTTAAAGCTTCACTATTGATGTTCAGTGTTCTGTGCTTTCAGCTATCAAACTTTAATGACAGTGACTTTTATTTTATCCCAGTCAAAGTTTCTCTGACTCAGCCTCAATTGGCTAAAGAAATCTATAAGAACGTGTCAGTGACAGTTATTGAGAGCTTATTTTGATACTAAAAGACACCATTTAGATTAGCAGCGCTTATTAAAACTGATGTTTAAGAGTCTATGCAGACGGATAGGCTTTTAATCCTGCAGCTTGATTGTTTCCAAGTTTTTTTTTTTTTTACTTTCTAACAACAGCATGTTGCCTTAACCGTGACAATGTAAAAAAAAATATTTAGCATCATTGCTAATGTAATGTTTCTCTCCCCCAGCTGTTTGGAGATGTTTGCTACCACTGCAATCGTGTTATCGAAGGCGATGGTAAGGAAGTTTGCTTACAGAACAACATTTTAAAATAGTGCAGCACTTTTATCCATTTATCATGGATTAAACTATAAGGGTTTGACCAGTGAATCAGAATTATGTTTTTATAACCTGCTATATTTGGCTGTTTTCAGTTGTTTCCGCCCTCAATAAGGCCTGGTGCGTCAACTGCTTTGCCTGCTCCACCTGCAACACCAAGCTCACCCTCAAGTAAGTAACAGCCTTATGTGTTAAAGACTTAACCTTTTTAGACTTGTAGACCCCTTTGGGCATTTTATATGACCATCAGTACCCCCCTCAGTCCAAAGTATTAATGATTGTCCAAAAGTGGAACGTAAAATAACTGATTAAAAAAACAAAAAAAAAGTTGTCCTTTTAATTTGAGCATTTAATTCTTAGGCATTTTATGTTTGCATCTCTAATAAAACAAACATAAATATGTTGCCTGGAAGTTAGTGAGGAATCGAAATAAATACAAAATAAAATCAGAATATAAACCTGTATTTATAAAACTGGAGCTCTTCTGAGTAACTCCATTATAGTCACATTTAAACGATTAAATCGATTAATTGGGAACAAAATGCAGAAAAAAAAATATTGTCAGACTCACTTAATAATTAGTTTTACTTAGTTTTCATCAAGACACCTGAGCTTTTAAGGTGAGCTTTGATAGCTCAGTGTGAAAACAGCTGGTATCAGGCTGCTCTTTACTTCCAGTCTGTTCCTCTGCTTGGTTTTTATGTGTGTAAAAGCTGAAGGTGAACTCAGACATATAAGAGATCATTTTTGCTTTGGTTCCTCACAAAGCAAACTGATCCCAGCCCTATTTTATTTTACTCCCTAAGAAATCAAATGTTTAAATGTACCCCTTGCAATACACTTAGGGAGCACTAGGGGTACTTGTACCCCCAGTTGGGAATCACTGATGTAGACAAAAACTCTGATCTGCGACTCTTTCTGTGGAGGTTTTTAAAGCTTTTCAGCTTTCAGCTCACAGTAGGAGCAGATCGGTGGTCGATACAGATGGACATTTCTTCCCAGCTTGAACAATAGAATTAAGCCAATTCTGAAAGAAATTGAAATTGCTATCAAAGTTGTGCACAAGGTGATTCATTTAGAGCATATTTCTTTGTTTCAGTGATTATGGCTTGCTTATAAGATAAGATTTCACCTTAACAGAAAACAAATATATAACTTGGGACTAATAAAGAGTCAGAATTTGTAAAAAATGTGTTTATGCACTGTGAAAAATATTCATTTAGTCATTAATTAGAGCTTCCTTGCGTTGAATAACAATGGATTATGACTTAGATCCACTCAGCCTTGTAAAAGAAACTATTTCAATTTTTTTTTTTAGCTTGTTGGATTAGATGTCCTCTATATTTTTCTTTTACCTCATTTGCTCTTTGAGTTTTGGCACAGGTGGGTTCACTGGTTTTTAAACCAGGGGTTCTGTACTTTTGGCAGAGTGGACAGGTACACTAGTGAACCTCTGCTTCACAAAACTTTGTAAATGTTGTTTTTAAAAATAGATTTTCTGGATTTTATTTTGATTTAGGTTTTATTTATTTAAACCTGTACAGAATACAAATAAACATAACAGTTCTCACTTATCGTATTACAACGATAAGGGAATAGGAAGATGTGTAAACTTTTGTGACCTTGTTTTTCCTTCCACTTAACTTTACATTAACTTACTTGGATACAACCCAAAAAAAAAAAAACTTGTTTAGTAATGATTTTTAGACAGTAGTCTTCCTTATGATTTTATAGACCATAACATTTCTCTATTTAAAATAGATGTTACTTTTTCTTACATAACAATTATATTTTCTAAGAAGTAAAATTCTGTGTTTTCTCTATTTGTAAGCTAAGATCATCAAAATAAACAGGAATAAGGTGTTTTGATTGCTTTAAGCTGTAAATAAGCTGTATAATTGAATGGACTTTCTTAATTTTTAAGACATTTTAAGACTACTGAGATTCTCCTTTAATGACATCACATTTATTACTATGTTTTTGATTTTTTACAACAAATAGTAGAAATGCTGTTAAGCTTGCATTTCTTTTATTAATTTGAGCCTTTAGCCTCGTCTTTTAAACCCTTCACTTCCTGTTTCAAATGCCGCTCTGATGTTTCAGCCTGTCCTTTGGAAACTATTGTTAATAAATCAGAGTATTTTCCCTGATTGCCTTGCTGCTCTTATTTTTTTCTCTACATATAAATTCACACTTTACGGCTGAGGTTTTCTTTGCTTGCTCTGCTTTCCGGGTTCTAAACTTTCATCTTATTCCTGTCTTTTTTTTCTTCTCCTCTTTGTCCTTTCTGCCATCTCTTCACCATTCCTGTTTCTCCTCCTCCTGTCCTGCAACCATCCCCTCTCTCCACCATCCCTGCTCCATCAGGGATAAATTTGTGGAGGTGGATCTGAAGCCTGTGTGCAAACGCTGCTTTGAAAGGCTTCCGGATGACATGAGACGTCAGCTGGCCAAGCGTGAACGTGACTCTAAAGACAAGAAGAGGAAACTGTTGATACCCATGTGTCTCTGATTCCTTTTTCTTTTTCCCACTTTGGTCAGTTCTGATTCTCACTTTTCTTTGTTTCAAGTTTTCAGGCCACATTTTACCCTGAAACCTTTTTTTTTATATATATATATTTAGCATGCAATGATATGGATTTGGCTTTGGGCATTTAGAATAATATCTAGCATGAATTATTTATCTTCATTTGTCAGCAAAATATTTTCATATATAAGAGTTTGGTTATATAATTAACGCTGCTTCATGCCTAGAACTTTGTATTATCTTACCCGTTTACTGAAAATTTAACATTTGCTGTAGTTTCGATACAGACTGATTGACCTTTGAAACCATAAAGTCTTTAAAGGGAGACAGACATTTTTTTTTTATTATTTACTGTTGGTTGTTTTCTAAATAGCCCTAGATATCTATTGGAGCCACTCAGTACACATATTTTTAAAGATAGATGCATTAAGTTATTAAATTACAATAGATTTCTATTTTATTCAAAAGATATTTTATTGTTTTATAGTTTTCCATGGAATCAATGCCATCTTCACTTAACCAAACTATGAGTCAAAAGGGAAAAAAAAATCGATATTTGTAAAATATTGCACCTTGGCTTAGTGTTGCTCATGAACGACACAGCATTTGCAAAGACCTTCAATGGTAGACCCAAAGTTACACCATTGGCTGAACAGTTTGGAGTGATGTAATGCGGAAGTGTTTTTCCCTGCATGTGACGACCTCTGAGCAGGAAATGAAGATCAGGATTTGGACCGGCACTTGCTATGCAAACAGCAGAATCAGATCAGGTGCAGGCTGAAGGGAAAGCTTTGTGTTCTGGCTCTTTTAGTCTGGTCTAAGGAGTAAAGCCATAATCGCATCCGGCAGCTTTCTGGCCTCCGCTGAGAAAATCCAAAGTTTCCTTCTGGTGCTACGCGTGACCCAGTCCTGGTGGAGAGAGAACGTCATTAAGAAACAGCAGTGTAGAGGAGATTCTCAGTCATCCATGTTGTAGTCGTTCCAAAAAAGTAAAAAAAACAAACCACTGGACTTTGTTTTTCAAGTTTGAAGGCGATTTGTTTCCCATCCAGGAAGCTTTTTCAATTCAAAATGTCTGGAATAGTGTTGAGTTTCAAGCTTTATAGAGTAGCCCAACAAAACCTTGTTATGGCTGAGAAAACATGCAAATTGAACCGAAAGAACAGGTCCACCCCTTAGCAATGGGGAGTCGTTGAGGTAATTGTTGGCCTGCAATATACGACACTGGTCTATGCCTCTGAATAACTCAACGACCTGTTCTTCCTGCTCAAATTGCATGTTTTCTATGCCATAACAAGGCTTTGTTGTGCAACTCTACAAGGCTTGGAACTCAACGCTAATCCAGACATTTTGAATTAAAAAAAAAACTCCTGGATGGGAAACAAAATGTCTTCAAACTTGGAAAATAAAGTTGCTTTTTTACTTTTTTTACTTTTTCGGAATTATCCGACAGCTTTCAAAGAAGAAACAAAGCCTGTTTATCCTTCTGTAGGCCTGTGCTGCGAGACTTGTTGTCATAAAATTAATAAATCGTTGTTTTTATCAGTTCATCAGTTTAGTTTTTTCACCTTACAGGAGAAATTCATATCAAATCAAACAGGATCCATAACATTACAATCACGCATAATTACATCAACATCATCATAATTATATCAAGTTAGAATGTAAAATCTCCTCCTTTAATAGGATAATATTCATGTTCTTACAATCTAGATATGTCGCACTAACAGGACAATATGAAAACCATATCATGTGAGCAATAGATTTTACTTTTAAACATCACTCCCTCTGTTATTACTCAAGTGTTTACCTTATGACATCATGGAGTTAATGAAGGTGCAGATAAAATGAATTTCTCACGTATACTAGAACAAAAGTTTTAGTTGATGCTTTGATTGAATCATGGAGAGAACTTGATCAGTATTTATAGTCATGCATCCACTGTAAGGGGACTGAAATCCTGTGAAACTTCACTGGAGGAAGAACAGATCTGATCTGATTGAGGTGATAGTGATTCTCCATGGATCCAAACCGTTTGTCACACAGCAGGATTAACAGACACATCTGGATGTTTGCATGGCTGAGCAAAGGCCAAATTGGCCCAAAAGGATCCTAAATTAACTTGGCATGTTTACTCTTATGACATTTCTTAACATATTTTAGTTACTTACAAGAACACAAATTCTTCTAACCAAATCTTGATGTTTGGATGATAGATCATCATGGTGTCATATATAATACAGGAAAGTGGAAATTATTTGTGTAAAAGTGGATATAAAATTGTAACAGCAGGAGTTAAAGGCTTCCATACAGCTCAAGTTAACCCTAATTACTCTACAGATCAGTCAGCCAGGTTTACTTTCTGTTATAAAAAATAACAAAAGTACCGTTTAAAGGTCCACCATAATGCGCCACTTTGCCCCAGTGATGAGGCATCTAACGACAGAAGGGTGGAGCCAGAAAACCAAAGCAGCTATCAAAATATTATGGCAGCAATAGCTTCTGTGACTCAGTTCAGGAAATATAATCAGCTGAACATAGAAACTCCAGCCAAAAGTCCCTTCCTTGGAAAAGTAAAACAGGTAGAACTATTGTGGTGCTGAAGCAATAACTGCTAACAATGCATACAGGCAGAGGAGCCAGAATGACTGGCTAAGTGAGGAAATGTAGTCGGTTTGTTCTTCACAGTGTTACCCTGAAAGCATTAAAACTAGCCCAGAATAACCTTGAACATGAAAAATACAAATATTTTACATTTTAAAACTATATTTAAGCCCACATTATATTAGGCTATGTACTCTAGATGAACTAATATTAGCATTTTGTCACTAAAGTATAAGAGAAAGTGAAAGATTTTCACCTATGATCAGGATGAGAGATATATTTGGACAAACAAAAGCATCCATCTCTGATTTATTAATTTTTCACTATAGAGCAGCAATAAACCATGCACTGCAAAAAATCTAAATCTAGACTAGTCAGTTTTTTCTTAAAATAAGTGCATTTGTTCTTGAATTGAGGATGTAAAAGAGACATTCTGCCAATGGAACAAGACAATTTACACTTAAAATAAAAAAAACACTATTATATTGTCTTATTTCAAGTGCATATTATCTAATTGTCTTATTTTAGGAGTAAAATTACTAATTCCATTGGCAAACTATCTCATTTACCTTCTCAAATTAAGGCTGAATACACTTAATTTAGGAAAGTTTTACTTATTTCTAGATTGTTTTTGCATTGCAGTAACATTTTAATTCCTATACCTTTTATTGTCTGTAGAGAGGTCTTAACATCTGGACTGTAATTTCTTATCCCCCCACCCCAATAGGAACAAGTTTGTTGAGTTCGACATGAAGCCGGTGTGTAAGAAGTGCTACGAGAAGTTCCCCTTGGAGCTCAAGAAGAGGCTGAAGAAGCTGTCTGAAGCTGCTGCACGGAAGTGAACAGAGTCAAGCAGCAGGGGGAAGAGAAACCCTGAGGTGGCCAGGATTGAGTCCACACCAGAGTCCTCACTGGTAGCCCCACACTCACAGTGTGCTGGCCCTTGATTTCATACTTTAGCTTTGCTATTTAAGTGCTTTTTTGCATCAATTTTACATTATATTTTATTTCATATTTTTGCTTGTTTTCACTTTTTTCATTTTTAATATTCATTCTATATTTAATATGCTGTAAGAGATGTGGAAATATAAGTGAAACGCTGTGCTGACAGCTTGTTTTCTGTGTTATCTGATGCCAAAAGTGACTCCTTTTAGAATAGTAATACTAATGGCTATTGAAAACAATCCAAAAATGTATTTTTGCCTACATGTCCTACAGAGGTCTAATGATGGAGGCTTTTCTTATGCTTGTTGTGGCACTAGCAGTTTTTACTGCAAGTGTTCAGACAAGAAATGGCTAAGGAGAGAGAAGAAGGGAAGACATGCCTTAAAAGATCCCACAAGCTGATGCCAAACACAGGAAGGCCGCTCAGAAGGCCTCCATATAAGGGGTCTATCTCTCCACCACATGACGCCCCTCCTCATCCCAGACTGTTAATCATTTCAGGTCTAAATAAATATGTACTTAGTTTAACAAAGTAAAATCCACATTTCATTAGAATTTCATGCACAAATTAGCAAAACTGTAAAACCAGCATAAAGAATTATCACAGTATTTATCATCTAATTTCAGATAGAATGCAATATAAATATAAGCAGGTGTCATCTGAGATTAATCAGCAGCTTTTAAATGTATGTTCTCAATCACATAATGGTTGTTATTATAGGATAGACTAGCAATTGCTTAAATTTTAATAAATAAATATTGAAATCATATTTATTTTTTTTCTACTCAATAGTGCTTAATATTAAGAGTGATTATTAGAAGCGATGCATGATGAACATTCATTATGCCTGATGAAAATAACATATAAGTAAAACAGGCATTACTTTTTTTTTATTCATTCTTATTTAGTTGATACATAATTAAAATAGAAACTTTTTTTTGCAGTCTCCACAATTATTTGGATGTCTACTTTTAATAATCAGCTCCATTAAGCAACAAACAAGCTCTAAACAGATTTATAGCAGCTGTTTAAATTCACAGCACCTGTTACCACGTGTGTGTGTGTGTTTGTTAGAGCCTGTGCCATGTGCAGAAACCGGATGTAAGAGTCTAACATGCTCGGTGTTAAGATTGCTTCTGTTGATTGTAAATCCATTGAAAACGATCATCTTAAGGAGCTTACAAACTTCCTGACTCACTTCAGCAAAGAAAGCAGCTGCCCTCTGTTTCACAGTAGTTATTTTGAGTTGTATTTTATTTTTTATTGTTTGTTCTTCGGATTTCAATTCCATCGAAGGAAAAACACATTCCACATTTACGCTTAGACAAAAGTTTCTGTTTTGCATTTTCTGTCATGCAGCCACATTTCTTTTGCAGAAGCACCAAACAGACCGGTTGTTGCTGGGCAAAATTTGAGCAGCACTATGAATGCTCCAGGGTTTAGTTTTATCTGTCATGTCACAGCAAGTGTTGAATATATCCCTTTCAAAAGCTTTCCCTGTTGTACTTCACTGTATTACTGCTTTATTGCTGTCAGACTGTCTGAATAAACACTATATACAAGCTTGAAAAATGTACAAAGTGGTGATATTTTAGGTAAAGGAATTTACATGTATATTTCAATTTAGATTCGTGGTTAGAAAAAGCATTGCTGACTTGATAACTGCAGTACAGAAGAGGATTGGAGCCACTGAAAAAAACAGTGAGATCAAAAAAGGCTATTTATGACTTTCATCTCAAAATTCTGATTTATTCTGATTGTAATTGTAGAATTTTTTCTTATTCTGAATAATTTCACAATTCTGATTTTGATCTCAGAATTATTCCAATAGAATAATGGCTAGTTGTAATATTCCTACTTTATCAAAGTGATAATTCTGGACTTTTGTGATAGAGTCCTAAGTAATCTGGCTTTGAATTCTGAGATTAAAAGTCAGAATTCTGGGTATAAAGTCAGAATTTAATAGTTTTTTTAATTTTTTTATTGTCAGTTATCAAAATCTAACGTGAGATAAAGAAACCAGATGCTTCAGTGAAGATAATTCGAAATTCATGTTTAGTCCAGTATTTTTGGTTATGAACATTTACAAACACAAGAAAAGATTTATTGCATCCATCTTCTCCCACTAATTCCATCAGGTTCTCAGTGGGGCCGGTTCCTATCTCCAGCTGTCTAAAGGCGAGAGGCGGGTTACACCCTGGACAGGTCACCTGTCTGTCTCAGAGCATTACAAAGATGCAAAGCATGCACACACTGACACCAAAGCACAATTTATAAAAGCCACTTAACAGTCATGCTTTTGAAATGCAGGAGGAAGCTGGAGTACCTGGAGAGAACCCACACATGCATGGAGAGAACATGCGAACTCCGCACAAAAAGAACCTGGCCTGAGGATGTAAGGCAACAGTGCTACAAACTGCACCGCTGTGTAGCCTAGCCTGATATATTCCTTTATCTGAAAAAAAAAAAAATCAGTTTCCTTTCAAAACCGGACACTGAAAAACCAGGATCTTGTTATATTTTCTGTGTTTACTGTTGTTGCCATGGCGCCTTTATAGGTTTCTGAACGGTAGACCATGTCGTCCAAAATACTGCTGCCAAAATCCTGAGCATTATTTTTCAGTTCACACTGTTTTTTAAAATCACTGCACTGTTTTCGAAAGAAACAACATGTTGAGTCCTTTAAGAATGAAAAGATTGATCAAAGACTGTAAACAATGAAGAGTTGATCTTATCATTGATAGGTGATTCAATCATTTGATTGAAGATTCAATTTACTTTTTGACCATTCTTACTTCAGCTCTTAAAGGGTTTTAAAAGTCATTTAAGACCCACAATGGGATTCCAAAAGAATCAGAGGGATGATGCATCACTGTATTTGTTTCCTTATTTCTTAAAGAGAGGGAAGGTTGAAGAATCAATGTGATCTGATTAGAGGAAGCCACACTTCTTTTTTTGTTTGCCTTTTATGTGAAAACTATAGTAGAAAACAAACTCCTTACAACCCCCTGAAGGAATTCCATGGTAAAACAGCAGCATTTCAGCACTGGTTTCACTTAATGGGAAGATAAGTGGAGCTAAATATAGAAAACTGTTGGATGCTGCAACAAATTATAGGCTTGGTTTATCATGCAGCAGCTCAGTAACCTTGAACATGGAGCTTAAATTACAACAAAATAGTTCTTATCAATGCATGTGTGTCAGATTGGCATAGTTAAATCCATGACATAAACTCAGTTAGTCTCTTTGAACCCCAGTCGGCCTCGGCAGATGGCTGCTCACACTAAGCCTGGTTCTACTGGAGGTTCCTTCCTGTTAAAAGGGATTTTTTTCTCTCCACTGTCGCTACAAGCATTCTTAGTGTGACGGATTGCATTCGAGTCAATGAGTCGATGCAATCAACTGGTTTTCCTTAGATAGAAAACTTTGAATCAATTTGACTCTATGATCTGGTTAACTGTATATTGCCTTGAGATGACATGGGCACAATATAAATAAACTTAATTGAATTAATAATTTTCCAAGACTTAAACAATAAATGAAAAGGTAATGCATGATAAGGAAAAAAAACATTTTAAACTATAGTTAAAATATTCATATTAATTTTGTAGACTTTATATGAATCTCCCAACAAACAAACATTCTGTGCAGAGAGTGTAAGAAAATTAGCTCAAGTAAAAAAAATTATTTTATGAGAAATCTTTAGAGTCTAAAACTCAAAACCAATAACCTTCTTTTCCTGTTAGTCTAAGCTACAGATTTGTCATAATCTCGTAGCGCGTGTTATAGAAATATCTACTTCTGCAGGTTCGTTCTCCGATCTCTTTCCGGATTTTAAAATCTGCCAGTGAGCCTACGTCAAACAATCCTGAGCTCTGATTGGTCCGGAAGTCTGTTTCATCTTGACGAATGACGACGTAAGGCGCTCTGCCATTTGCTTACGCATTATCACTATGGGGAAATAACGTGAGCTTAATGTCAGTGTTTTTTTCCTTCACATTTCGCGAACTTTTAGGCTAATCTTCGCTCAGCGCGCATAGAGGTCCCAGACCTTTGAAGCCATGAGGCGGAGTAAGGCTGAAGTGGACCGCTACGTTTCCACCGTACAGAGTTCTTCTCCTTCACTCAAAGAGGTAGGATAGTACCCTCGGTTAGCACGTTAGCCTCCCTCAGCGGCTAACTTCTAGCCACATGTGACATTTTGTTGGCTTGTAGATTCAAATGTGGCTGTATTTCGTCAGAACTACTGTCGGAATTTGAACTAAAAGATATCGTCATAAGTTGGTTTGGATATGTCTGCTCGCTCTGTTAGCTTTGTCCTGCTAGCTCTGCACATGCCACCGGCAAATAAGTTAGCTTCCGAATCATAGCATCTCAGGATAGGACAAACAGTATGCTTATATCAACCAAGCCAGGAAAAGGCTTTTATCTGCTGTATTACAGAAATCTAAAACCCTCTAAATTCAAACGGTTGACTGCTTAATCTGCTCATATTAATTCCAACTTGACTAAATAAGCAATGCTATTAACGTTTAACGGTTAACTAACTGCAATAAAGTTGTATTAGTTTAATACAGTTAGTGACCTGTATAGAAAACTTACTTCACTTTTTGATATTTCCATGTATGTCTTTTTTTTTAAATAAAATCTGATAAACTAGTGTTTAAACTATACATACGGTGCCCATTTATGAAAGCCCCGCGCCTGGAAATGCGCGGTTGCTTTACGTTTCATAAACCAACCCGAGCTGGTCACCCAAACACACACACACACACACACATATATATATGTGTGTATGTGTGTGTTCGGGTTCAGATGGTGTGTGTATATATATATATATATATATATATATATATATATATATATATACATACATACGGTATATACCAGAAAATGTAAGTATGCAGATTGAAAGCTTGTTTTTATGGGTTAAGGAGGACAACTGTATTAAACTGAATTGGTTGATTCTCCAAACACTGTACCAGGTTAAAATGCAAAGTATGTAATTTAAAGTCTTATGAAAAGGAGTAAAATAGACCCGCGGATCCTGAATTATACATTTAGCTCTATAATTGGAAGAAAAAAAATCATGTTTTGTGTGTTTTCTGTTCGTTCTGGATGTGACACAGGGACAGGCTATTTTAAAACAAGACAAAATCATTAAAGGTTTTCATTTTTAAATGATCTATAGTAGCTGACTAAAAAATGCTAACAAAACGACTTTCCTGGACCATATTTTTCAAATGTTTTCATTTGGATAGAAAACCAAATAAAGTGTTGACAGTAATACGTTTCGTTTCTCTTGTTCAGAAAATGCCCAGACAGACCTTTAAACAGCATTTACCAAATCTGCCAGAATACGCATATCGTTATATACAACTGCTTTAGTGAACCTTAGTGAAGGATAGATAAATGTGGATTATTTATTTTGCTAGATTTTAAGAAATTACTCAGAAATGGTTTAACCACATATTATTACTCTTTTCTTTTTTTCCCCTTGTTTTTATTATTACAATTTTTTTTTTCTTCATTTTTAAGCATTAAAGGTCAACATCCCATGGTTGGCAGTAGTTCTTTGTGAAAGTATAGCACTGATCAGTGTGGCTTCAGTTGCATAAGGAGATGCATGCTTTCCCAGAACCAGACTAAGGACAATGGGAGA